GGTGAAAACACAGGAAGATTAAAGAGCCAGTGATCTGGGGGAATGGAGGGTCAGACCAGCACTTGTGTGTCTGTGAACTGGCTGGCCAAGAAACCAAAGCAATCTTTGATTTCAGAATAGAGCTGAGGAAGTCCCACTGTGTCACTGTTTATATCCATAAGAAAACTGTCTTGTGTTTTTAAAGACAGAGGCTTACAAAGGGTTAGATTTTTTTGTTCACTGCTGTGGGAATAGAGCAGTTAGGAAATTTCCTGTTTTCTCTGACAGTAGTCAGTTATTTCCAGTCTTTACTACCATTTAAATGGGAGCTATGCCTATGAAATTAAATTTTGTTTAAACACAATTAGGTGGTACTTCCTAAGGTGTTACAGAAGTAATATTAAAGGATGTACAAAGAATGGAATACCTAAGGGATTGGTCAGATGTGTGACTTCAAATTTAGGAAACTTTCTTATAACAACACTGGAGAAGCTGTTAAGTGTATTGCATTTGCCAAAAATACAGGTCAAAGCAAGTGAAAAAATCCTTATTGTTAGAGGCAAAGTGGGAGCAAAGTAAGTATTAAAATGATTTAATTTGGATGAAAAAGCTATGCCCTGTCTTAACCTTATTATCCTTGCTTCCTAGAGATTCCAAAAGACAAAACTTTGGAACAGGAGATTCTGCATGTACTATGTCTAAAAGAAGCAGGATTGATATACCTGATGTGGCCCACAAATTAGTGGTCAAGAGCCCAAAAAATTTACAGTGAAGTATCAGTTTAGAAATGTAGCTATCCAGCTGTTGAATCGCTCATCTCATAATCATATTGAATACTTTTAAATTGGAGAACGGTTTGAAAGACGCATGGTGTGATTTAGGTGCCAGGAAATGCTGCTGCTTCGTGGAAGTGACACTATGATTTAGAGTAAGAAACAGCTGCAAACAGCAGTGGTTTTAGAGGGAGTGGCCTTGTAGTTACAGGAGGTTGTCACCTCACATGTTGACAACTGTTGAAGACATAGGGAAGGTATTTTTTCAAATATAGGAAAGGGATAGAGTTGTGGAGCTGGGCATTTTCCTTGAGAAAGCTTCAAACAGGCACTAACCAAAGCAAGTTGACATGGCTGAGCCTTAGGACATGATTCAGCTGTTTGATGGCAGGTACCTCAAAGAAGACATGCAGATTTCTGTTTGGAGAACAGAGTATCAACTGAACATTTATTATTGGCTTTAAAGTAGTAGCCTAATTTGTGATTATAATTTACATGCTTACATGGGAAAGGGAGATATACCAAGAGCTGGTCTGAACTGGTTTTGTTATGTTATGAAAATATATGGAATACTGATGAATTAGGATTGCATGAATCAATTTTTCCTCAGAATCCTTGGCTCTGGGAGATTACTGAACAACAGACAGCCCAAGTCTCCTCTTGGAGCAAAACCAAACAATACTACAGCTAGTGCTTGGTTTCTCCAATAGCCTGGGTTGTTGATCACTGGGAATTACTAGTCATAAAGTTGGCCAGATGCGTGACCAGACATGTATAATTAGACAGATATTTTTGAGTTCTCTGCTTATCTTACTTTTGCGTTATTCAATTTCCTTATCTCTTCCAATTTATGGTGGCAAAGATTATGACTGGCATAAACAACATATTACATAAGTAGATGATTTGAACCTTACAAGACCATTGAAAGTGAAAGAAGAAAGATGGAGAGGATAGTAGGAAAAGGAGAGGAACTGTGAAGATTCTTGGTAGGAGTGGTAGAGGTGAATCAGAAAAAAGGCAAGTTTTGTATCAATTGACAAAAGCAGTCTAAAACTAATTATTTGTCATTGGTATTCTTTGATGTACCTTGGTTAGCTAGTAATTTTTATTTTTCTGTATCAGGTGAAAAATCTCATCCTTATCAGGATAAGAATGATGTTTCTAGTCCTTTTATGTGCTAGAATTTTGCTGCCTGACCCAGAACAAAGAAAACTGTCAGCTGCAGTGGGTGCCCTAAAATAACACTGCATTATTACCAGTGTTATAAGAAGAAATTACTACTGTAAATGAAGTATAAAAAAAACCAAAGTAAAACATTTGTCATGGGAAGCAAAAAAGTCTGTGGAAGTGTATTTTAGGGTGAGAGGAAAATAGATTAAAAATTCCAGTAAAAGAAGAAAAGATTAAGAAAAAATAATGAGTTCACCTTACAAACACTCCTCTCTAAAGCAGAACAGGAGACTGTTAATTGTTAGCTGATGTCTCAGTTGATGGCATGCTGTCAGTCAAACTTCCAGCTAATCTAGCTCTGAATGTATGAAAGCTAATGTAGTTGTTGTTCTGATAGTTTCCTCCTGAAATTTAGAACTTGTAGCCTTCATTACTATTTTCTTAGCAGACTTTGTCATATTTTAATAAATTTGGGTTTGAAATTATGAAATTACTAAGTATACCTGTACAAAGACAGTATTAAAACAGATGAGGAGTGGAAAAGAGGCGTATTTTTGAAAAAAAGATTATGTACTTGACCAATCTTTCTCCACTTTTCTAACTCTCTTTCTACTTCAGCTTTATTTGTAGAGATTTGTGACCTATGTACGTATTTAAGCATTGAAATGTTCTAGGAAAAAAAGTTATTTATCTAATGATGTATTATTTCTTATAATGAGAGGCTTCCTGGTCCAATGTGAAAACTGTTGGACTGGGAGGCTTGAAACTAAGCCGGTAGGCACAGCTTGAACACTAGCACTAAGAGATCTGTTCACTGTGTTTCATTTTCTCCATCTGCGAAATGGTATTGACATTATTTGTAAAACACTTTACGGTGTGCAGGTAAAAAGTGGTCTCTGGTGAAGATAACATTAATGGTCTCAGTAGTACCTGCTCTGTGTTGTGTCTGTATTGTATTTGCCACAGCCAAGTTCTGCTTAGTGCTGTTCTGCCAGCCTGTTTTCTCAGTCATTGGGGCATTTGCCTCTAAAATTTCTTCAGGATATCAGAATCCTTTATACTGCTCTTAAGGGTAGATTGTAAAACTGCTGGTATATCAGTAGTCATTAACCCCATCTCTCCTCTTATTCCTAAAGACTCTACTAGGATTTCTTTTTATAATCCTGTGAATTTTGATAAAGTTTTCATCAATGAGGAACCATCCTTTCCTCCCCATCCCCTCCCAGCACACATATGTGTTAGGGTAAATAAAGTGTCCAGTATCTCTTGGCCAGCATTATAAGGAGGAAGCTGAACCTCCTAGGATGTGAAAAAACAAGCTCTTGCTTTTTCTTGTGAACTCACTGCCATGCACAGTTTCTTTTTCTGTGAGAAAACTCAATTATTTTATGTATATCAGAGTTGGTTACATATTCCGTTTCAAGAGATTAATTCCAAAGAAATTAAAGCTAATTAAAGATTTATACACAGGTGATCTCTTGTATTTAGCCTTGCAGTGTGTTTTACAGGCGAAAAGATAACTAGTTGACTTTCTCAGCACTGCAGTTATCTGTTAATCTTCACTGGATACCTATGTCCTACTCTATTCACTCTGATACATGGCAGGAGGAGCCAGATTTTATTTTTTGTTTGTATGCATTAATAATAGGCCTACTTAAACTGCAGTTTCCCTTCCTGTTTTACTAAAAGATCAGCTGGCCTGCATTAGTTAAGCCACAGTAACTTGATTGTGCCATGAACAGCTCTGGATCCAATAGCATGGGTAGCACCTTTGACAAGAGGGCAAAAATAGCTTCAGAATATTTTTCATCTGTGGCCATCAGTATCTCCAAGTTCTTTCCCTCTATGTAGTATTGACCTGGCTTTAGGGAAGGAATAGTTTGAATGGAGGAGCTGTTTGGAGTAAACAAGATGCTCAGATCTTAGCCATTGCAAAACAGGTTTTGCCCCAACAGCTTGTCTCCTATTTTCCAAAGTGTTTCTTAACTCAAGTTATGAAAAATACTGATCAGAATATTTTTAGTCTCAAGCATTCACAAAATATGTGTTGTGTTCCAAGAATATTGACTTTAAATATCATAAATTTTTAAAAACTCAGTGCAGTGAAGTGATGCTTTCAAGATTTTATTTCTTTAGCTGGAGAAACCTACTGACTGTGTTTGTTTTTTAAAATTTATATTTGAAAACTTTTCTCTTTTAATCTAAGGGGTGGTGTTATGCAAGGACTGGGAAATAAGATAAAACTGCACAATGCAACAAAAGATGTAAAACAATAATTGTTACATGTGCACCAGCAATAGCAAGCTAGAAGGAATTTATGAAAGGCCTTGTTAGCTTCCCAGGTGTGGCTAAGCTGCTAATAATAAATTGGATGTCATTAAATACTTAAGCTGAAATTGGAAAGGGGCAGCACGTGAAGCAGCTGCTTAGGAGAGGGTTAGAGAAACTGCAAAAAGAGCCAAGCTACAGGGAAGATTGCTATGTGAAAAGCGAGAAGGAGGCTGAGACTGATAGGGAAGAAATGCTTTCTTCTCATTATATACCTTCTGCTTGAAGTTCTGAAAACCAAGTGAGCTGCTATGTATTACCTTACTGCAAGAAGAAATGTAAAAATATCAAGAGTTGTTGAGGTTTGGACTAAGGAAGGCTCAAAGCTAGATCTACTGCTCTGAGTTTGTATGAGCCTCCAGATTGTACAGAGAGATGAGATTAATGATAATGAAAGCTCTGCTGTGGTGACAACAGGGAGGTGTCACAAGTATTGGTGAAGCCCTGCAATGACATCTTCAGAAGATATTCAGAAGCTTTCTTTGGCCTTATGGGTTCAACTGAGAGCTATTGCATGAGGGGGAAAGACTGGAGTTACTCTTTTCTAGTTTATGTAAAAATTATTGTGGTCATCTTGCTTTTCTTCATTCTGTCTTAAATGACTTAGATCATAGTTTGATTGGTTCATGTCATACAGGTTTGAAACATACATAGCTGAGGTTAAAAAGGAAAAGTAAGTTTTATTTTTGACAGCAAACATAATTCAATCTTTCTTATTGTAACTCCAACTTCAATCTCTTTTCCTTCCATGTAGGCCATGTGTCTATACGATGGGATCGCAGATAAACAACAGAGCCCTCTTCCCATGCCAAGAACCACCTGTTGCCTTGTCAACATGGCAAGCCTCAGTCCGAACAGCTGCAGGCTTTGTTGTGTTGTTGAGTGGTGAAAACTCAGCAGAACCAGTCCAGCTTCGAGAAGGTGAAATGTATTTTCTATAGCAAAGTATTTTCAATAATTTTATAATTAGAAATACAGTTTAGTTAGTATATGATTTTTGAAAAAATGAAGTTCCTAACATTAAAAGCACTTACATGTCTGTCTGTAATCTCCATGTCATTCTATGGAAAAGTTACCTGCCTGAAGCCTGAGGATAACTTAATAATTCAAGGCATCTACATTTCACTATGCTACTTTGTGGTGGTTTGACCCACAGAGGGACCATGCAGTCTCGCACTCACTCCCCCCACCCAGTGAGATGGGATGGGAGTCACAACAAAGGGGCTGTGGGATTAGGGTGAAGGACAGGGACGGCTCATTCACCAGTTATCGTCACGGGCAGAACAAGACTCAACCTGGGGAAGAAAAATCAATTTAATTTGTTGCCATTCATCTGAGTAGCACAGTGAGACATAACAGCCACGTCTTACAACACCTTCTCCCCACCCCTCCCTTCTTCCTGGGCTCAAATCACTTTGCTCCCAATTTCTCTACCTTCCCCTCCGGAGGCACAGGGGCCAGGGAATGGGGGTTCAGTCAGTTCACCTCTGCTGCTCTTCCCAACATTAAAGTCCAGGAACAAGATTCACGGACCTGTTTGGGCTCAGCTTCCAGCTCTGGCATGGGGACATCCATGGGCTACAGACTCACCCCCCGCTCTGGGGTCCACACCTGTTCTGGCAGCGAGCGACTCTGGGGTCTCAATTTCTGTCACACTTGCCCTCAGGCTCAGCTTCTCTGCTCCAGCGTGGAGTCCTCCATGGCCTAGACTTGGGTATCTGGTCCACTGTTGAACCTCCATTGTCTGCAGGTGACCTCCTTTGCCTTCTCCAACTCCATGCAGTTGAACTGGGTGTCTGAGGTTCTCTACCCTCCTCCTCCTTCCTCCTAGCAATGAAGCTCCCTCTTTGTTTAGGCCGATGGTCTTTTGTTCAGGTCAATGGCCTCTCCTCCAGGTTCACCCCCACCTTCCTTTTTTTCAGGACAGTCCTTCCCCTCACAAATATGAATTCTCAGAGACATTTCTCTAGTGCTCATTGGCCCAGCCTGGGCTGAGGGGACTGCCTTGGAGCCAGAGGAGCTGTCACCCTCACAAGGTGGCCCCTTCCCCCACTACCAAAAATGCTAGGGCCCCCGCACCCCAAAACCTCAACCCATACTTCTACTTACTTTTTTCTGTGTTTTTATTCCTTTTACTTTTTCCAGACCTAGACTTCATTTGCCGTAAATTGCCATAAATTGTGCAGAGTGATGAACTCTGCAGTGAAACATTTTGTAGATGAAGTACCTTATTAGACTCTTGACTACTTCTGTCCAAGTCCAAGTGTAACTCAGCATGCCAATGATTAGAAGCAGTCGCTGTGTCATATCTGTTTCCTGAAATATGTGGGATAGATGAAGAATATGGGATCAGTGCCCTGAATATCTGATCTTTGGAGGTTTCTTGTCATTGGTAGATCATACCTTGTGCAAAGTAAGCAAACAAGTAGTTTTCTTCTGTGTTGGTTGTACTTTATTCTCTAAACCTTTCTCTACATAGAGAAGAAAAGTTTTAAGGCAGTTCTACACATAATAATACAAAATATGTCTTGCTCCCATTAATTTTGAGATAATCTATCAAACAGGATCAGTATTTCCTAGTGTAAATAGTTCTATTGGAAAGTAGTGTACAGGAAAAGGTTAGAATTAGGCATTTCTGGAAAAAAAAAAATCTTCTCTTCCCCTTTAGAGAGGCAAGTGTATTCTTGAGGGAAAAAATACAAAAACAAACAAATGAAAGTCTCCTTGATTTGAGAACCATTAGTTAATCCATTTGCATGGCGTTTTCTGGTTATTTTTGGCCTTGTCTCTGCTGTTGAAATAAGGAAAACTGCCATGATGACCTACTCAGCTCATTCAGGCAATAATACTTTCCTGTCTCGGCATCAAGAAAGCAAGAATGCTCTTGATTTCAGACTAGGAGAACAGCTCTGCCATCATTGTTTAATTACTCTAATCCGCACTTACACCTTGCTAATGAGTTGTTGCCTGTCTGTCCCTCAGTGGTGTTCTGAAATATTAACAGGAAGAAGGATGCTTATGTGAATTTCTAGAAGTAGAAACCTTGGAAAATATTTTAGGCAGTATAAATTAGCATAGATCAGTTAAAATTGATACTCTCTTAGACCAATTAGCAAGTTGAAAAGGCTGTATTATGAAAGAATTATTTTCTCAATAACATTTTTTCGTCATTGTAGTTTAAAAAAAGCATTAAAAATTTATACTTCAATGAAGAAAAAACCTAGTTGTGGGGAAAACCATTTCTAAAATGTTGTTGATGGACTGTTGAGAATGATATCAGGGTACCATGTTGTTAATGTTCCTGTTAATGTTGTTAATGTTCCTGCTTGACAAACGTAATGACTTTCTATGATAAGGTTACCCACCTAGTTGACCAAGGGAAGCGAGTCGATGTAATCTTTTTGGACTCCAGTAAAGCCTTTGATACCATCTCTCACAGTATCCTCCTGGACAAAATGTCCAGCGTACAGCTGAATAAACACATCCTGCTCTGGGTGAGCAATTGGCTGATGGGTCGGGCTCAGAGGGTTCTAGTCAATGGGGGTACATCGGGCTGGCAACCGGTCACTAGTGGGGTCCTGCAGGGATCCATTCTGGGGCCAGTGCTCTTTAATGTCTTCATCAGTGACTTAGATACAGGACTTGAAGGATTGATAGTAAAATTTGACGATGACACCAAATCAGGAGGTCCTGTGGACACTCTTGAGGGCAGA